GTTAATAGTCATGTGTTTAATTTTATCTTTTTACAAAAAAAATATGTTATCGGGTGTGTAGGTTATAGAGTCTAAAAATAAAATCAGCACCTCTGAACCCACCACTCAACCCAAAAACCCAGAATGTCACCAATGCTATATGATCTACCTACCTCCACCACCCTGATCCCCAGGTCCCTGCAAAACACACACACACCCCAGGTAATCATTGTCCTGAATCTGGGGTTTTATTATGAGTATAAATGCATCTTTATGATTACCTCCCATTACTAACAAGTGAGTTGGCTTTCCAAATATAGCAATGATATATTGTTTCCTCTTAAAAGATGACATCTTTTTAGTTTTTCTAAGGTCAATCACTACTTTAAAGAAAAATACTAAATAATTAATAGGCTGACACTTAGCCGTGGTAAACTCATGAAGACGGTATATGAGTGAATGAAATTTAGCAAACACTGGCAAAAGCGGCTGAGAACATGGGTTCCAGAGTCTCACAAACTCCTGGTTCAAATCCCCACTCCACTACTGACTAGCTCTACAATTAGGGCAACTCGCTCAATTTCGGAAAGCCTGAATTTCTCATCATAAAAGAGTGAAATAATAAAACATATGGTTGCTGTGAAAATGTCATGAAAAATGTATTAAAGAGCTGAGCACTGTGCCTAGCACATATCCAGTGCTCCCCCATCATAACGGTCACCAAATTCATTCAAAACACATCAAAGGGTTTTGCTACCATTAATAGTTTACTTCTCCCCAGTTTCTCACAAGTTGTGCATTAGATCCCTTCAAATAAAAATAAATCAAGGGCGCCTGGGTGGCTCAGTTGGTTAAGCGACTGCCTTCGGCTCGGCTCGGGTCATGATCCTGGAGTCTCAGGATCGAGTCCCGCATTGGGCTTCCTGCTCAGCAGGGAGTCTGCTTCTCCTTCTGACCCTACCCCCTCTCATGTGCTCTCTCTCATTCTCTCTCTCAAATAAATAAATAAAATCTTAAAAAAAAAATAAATCAAGGGGCGCCTGGGTGGCTCAGTCATTAAGCGTCTGCCTTCGGCTCGGGTCATGATCTCAGGGTCCTGGGATCAAGCCCCGCATCAAGCCCCGCATCAAGCCCCGCATCGGGCCCCGCATCGGGCCCCGCATCGGGCCCCGCATCGGGCTCCCTGCTCGGCAGGAAGCCTGCTTCTCCCACTCCCCCTGCTTGTGTTCCCTCTCTCGTGTGTCTCTCTGTCAAATAAATAAATAAAATCTTTTTAAAAAATCAATCAATCAATCAAGATACTGGGATCCAACAGCAGAACAAGCACAGAAGACAGTTCCCAGTCCCAGCTCCTCTTTGTCTAATGTACTTTTTGCACGCGGACACATACACACACACACACACACACACACACACACACATTGATTCCATCTTCACCTCATGACCTTGAATAACAGGATCATTTTTCAAATGCATTTCTGCCCTGTTCCTTCCTCCCGCAGAAGGCTGGACTACTTGATCTAACCTTACCTAGAAGTCTATCATGATCATCACAATATTAGTTCAGTGCAATCTAGGGTAAGATAGAGGCATAGTCTCTATTTACTGATTCAATCACTGTTAGCTGTTCGGTGGACAGATGCAGAAAATTTGGTAAATCATTACTCTGAAAAAAAAATCATTACAATGCTATTAATGGCATTAAGTTCCCACTTCTGAAATTAATTACATTCCTGAATAAGGCAGACTCCCCCACCTCTACTTGGCATCTTTAATATTCTTTTAAATTACTTAGAGATAACAAGAAACTTACCCAGATTCAAATGATCACTCTCTTTCAAGGTACAAAAGTTGTAAAACTACTACCTAAATCAAGTCTTTATTTAAAACCCACTCTCTCCATTTCAAGAAAAATTCACCAAACCGCCGGAAAAGGAGAGTATGAACCCAGTCTCTCCCCATCCCAGCCCCTGATTTTTGCCATCTCTCCAGAATTTACTGCAACATCATTCACCACCTTTTGAGTATTTGCGTGAGGGGTGACAGTAGAAATGCTATTATCCACCACACAATTCCATCTATTTAAGACCTACACATTTCAGCTTCAAAAGACTTCCGTTTTGGTTTTTTGTTTTGTGCTTTTAGTTCCAGGCCAGAAAACAAAAACGACTGCCTCACACAAAAAAGTGATTTGGTCTTAGAAGCCAGGTGATCCAAGTCCTGTCCAGGCCTAGGACAACCTCCTGACCCCTGCGTCCCCACCAGTGAAACTGGTGCGGCCCATATTTCATACCTAAGCATACTGTAAAGCTGGATGGCGAGGCCAGTGTCTGAGGTCAGCACAAGTCTAGTGTCTGCTGGCTGCCCAAGCCCGGGCCCCCAGCCAGCCACCCACCTCCAGACACAAGTGCCAAGACATACTATAGTGTTTCCATTTAAGGCCTGCCACTTGGATCAGCCCATCTCTGAAATTTCTTAACACCACCTTTCCAGGAAGAATTTTTTTGGGGGAAAAGGGAGGTGGTGTCTATTTTTTGCCACCGCCTTCCCTTGGGCTGTCAGAGCAGTCTGCATCTCTGGGACAGGATTCTTTAAAACCACTGGGTTATATCTAAGTCTCAATTAGAGGGCCTCTTTTCAAAAATATACAAACTATGTATGAGATCAGTCTTTTTTCTCACCACCTAACTCCCATCACTCACACACTCTCTCACACACACACAACCCTCAAAAAAGAAAGCCCAATAAAATTAACAAATCCATTGATTACTTTGCTACCTCTTTCCAAAAGCCAAATTAAGCACAACTTTTAACCAAGACTTTTCTTCTGCTGCTAAGTGGAATGTTTTATTCCCTAAGTATCTTCCTCTACAGCTTTTCTCCCATGCAAAGAGCGTTCAAAACTCCAGGGAAAGGAGGGGGGGTTGGGGGGACGTATCTGGCGCAAACTGGACAGACCTAAGCCAGCCTAGAATCCGAAGGAAGTTAGTGAATCCAGCGGCCCCAGAGGCCCACATCTCTCCCCAGCGCGCCCCAGGTTCTAGCCTCACTGTTTTGGTTACAGTGTTGAAGGAAGGGTTTTAAACTTGGCAAAGTACAGTGCAACATCTGTAACCACATTTGCCTTCTGGGGATCGGGAGATGAATCCCACATTCCTGGCTTTGAAGCTTTTTGAAACTGCAGCTAGGAAGAACGGAGGGCGGGAGGGAGTTGAGCAGAGTTTATTGGCTGTCTCTCCAGCAGAAAATTCCTCTTGGAAGAGACGGATATTTTGAGGGTGGGGGTGATTAGCCCATCCCTTTACTCTGTACCAAGCTCAGCTGGGAAGGTGAGCCCGTGGCCGGGCGACCAGATCGGTTTACAAGTCTGCGGCGCACACCCTGAAGGAGTTCACCACACACACACACACACACACACACACACACACACACACACAAAACACACACGCTGCATGCCTCTGTCCTCTCCCCTATCCCACCAGCAGTTCAGGCCCAAAGCAAGACAGTTTTGTTCCGCGGCTGCTTCCCCCATCGAGAGTGGATGAAGCCTGGGGGAGAAAGGAATGAAAGCGAGGGGGAGACACCGCAGACGCCCACCCTCCCACCCCCAATCCCAGCCTCTCCTCCCGCC